CTTACTGGAGTGAGATGGTATCTTAGGGTGGTTTTGATTTGCATTTCATGCTGAGCATCTTTTCATGTGCTTGTTAGACATTTATGTGTCTTTGGAGAAAGGTCTACTCAAGTCCACAGCCATAGCTTACTTTTAATTGGGGCATCCCTCCCCACCAACCCTTTCTATTTATTTATTTATTATTATTTTTAAAAATGGTTTTTTATAGTAGATGGACACAACACCTTTATTTTATTTTTATGTGGTGCTGAGGCTCGAACTCAGTGCTTCACACATGCTAGGTAAGTGCTTACCAACTGAGCTATAACCCCAGCCCCACCTTTCTATTTATTTTGAGTCTTTTTTTGAGACATTTTCTCACAGATTGCCCTGGCTGGCCTTAAACTCCTGAATCACTGGGATTATAGGTATATACTACCATACCCAGAAAAAGGAACCATTTTAACATGAACAGTCAATGACATTTAGAAAATTTGCCATGTTGTGCAATCATCACTACTGTTTAGTTTCAAAACAGGAGTGTAAGCATCTCAAACCCATTAAGTAATCACTTTCCATTAATGTTCTTTGCCCCTTGGTAACCTCTCATTTGCTTCCCATAGCTATGGATTTGTCTATTCTGGATATTTTATATAAATATAATAATATAATTATAGACATATCATGTCTGATTTCACATAGTATGACATATTTGAGATCTATACATTTTGGACATGTATCATTATAGTAATTCTTTTTTGTGCTGAAATAATATTCCATGAGAAATATATTAGTCACTCACTGTTAATGGACATGAGTTGTTTCCTTCTTTAGCCTTTTAGCTATTGCAAATAGTACCATTATGAATATTTATGTGTAAGTATTTGAATACCTATTTTCAGGTTTCTTGAGTATATACCTAGGATTGGGATTGTTGGATCATATAATAATTCCATATTAATTTTTTTTTACTGGGAATTAAATTCAGGGGTGCTTTACCACGGAGCTATATCCTCAGCCATTTTGAGACAGGGTCTCACAATTTATAAATTGCTTAGGGCCTTGCTAAGTTGCTAAGGCTGGCCTCTAACTTTCAATTCTTCTACCTCAACCTTCTGAATCTCTGGGATTACAGGCCTCTGCTACCACACCAAACTTATGTTAATTTTTTTAGGGACTACCAAACTATTGTACATAGTAACTAACCATTTTACACTTCTGTCAGCAATGTGTAGTGGTTCCAATTTCTCTGCATCCTTACCAATTCTTATAATTTTAAGTTTTTTTGAAAATTATTTTATATCCAACCTAGTGTTTATTAAAACCACCATCTCATTGTAGTTTGGATTTGTATTTCCTTCATGACTAATGAAGAGCAAGCATATTTTCCTGTGATTGTTGGCCATGTGTATATCCTTGAAGAAGTGTCTCTTCAGGTTCTTTGCCCTTTTGTAAAATGGTGGGGTTTTTTGTTTGTTTATGAGTTTTAAGAGTTCTGAATGTATTACAAATATTAAACTTTATTAGGGATATGATTTTACAAATATTTTTCCTATTGTGTACATTGTCTTTTAACTTTTTTCATAGTGTCTTTTGAAGACCATCAGTTTTTCATTGTGATGATTTCTAATTTATCTATTTTTTTTTCTTGTGATTATGCTTTCAGTGTCCTAAGAAAACATTACCAAGTCCTGGGTCACAAAAAAGTTATGTATTTTTTCTGGAAATTTTATAGTTTTATCTACTATATTTAAATCTTTGGCCTATTTTGAGTTAATTTTTATATATGGTGTGAGGTAGCAGTCTAGCTTCCTTCCATCTCATGTAGATATCTACTTTCCCATTTGTTGAAAAGATTATTCCTTCACCATTAATATGGGTTTTGCGGGGGTAGGTTTGGTTTGGGTTTTGTTTGTTTTTCAGACAGTACTAGGGATTGAACCTAGAGGCACTCTATTATGAAACCACTGAGCTACATTTTCAGCTTTTAATTTTTTTTTTTTTTTTTGAGACAGGGTTTCACTAAGTTGCCAAGGCTAACTTTGAACTTGCAATCCTCCTGCTTCAGCCTCCTGTGTTACTGGAATTATGGACATGTACCACTGCACCAGGCTTGTTCTGGTGCTTAATTGACAGTACATGTGAGGGTTTATATTTGGATTCTTGATTGGCTTATTTATCTGTCTTTGCCCCAGTACTACGGCTGTTGATTTTTTTAGTAACTTTTGTTAGTCCTCCAACTTTTGCAAGATTGTTTTGGTTATTCTGGGTCTCTTGAGTTTCCATGTGCATCTTGAATTAGCATCAATTTCTGCAAACTCATCTGGGATTCTGATAAGGATTGTGTTGACTCTAGGTTAATTTAAGGAGTACTGCCATATTAAAAATAGTGTTTTCCAGTCCTTGAACATAGGATGTCTTTCCATTTATCCAACTTTTAAATTTCTTTTAATTTCATGTTTTGTAGCTTTTAGAGTAAAATCTTTAAAATAGATACCCTGACATATACCCACAACATAACACATGAACTTGCACATGTACAAATAGACTGGCTCATACTTGGTGTTATGTACCGTTGATACTGTTATTTTAAATCTTTTTATGTCTTTAACATTTTGGAAGAGGTGGATTAAAACAGAATAATAGCTTGCCAAAGTATTCAAGACTTATTTCCAAAAAATTTTACAAAACAAAGACCTTTATCCTTCAGTAGAGATAACATGTAAAAAAAGCATGAAATATCAAGTGTAAATAAGCAAGAAACTGAACAGTATGTCCCTTCTGTGCCAAAACCATGATCTGTTTCTTATTTGATATACTTGAAAGGAATTATACCAAAAGATTAGCTATTTCTGGCTAGGATTATTAGGATTTACATTTTTCAGTTTTTCTGTATTGTATTTTAAGCATGTATAAATTTTGCATATATATATGGAAAATGTTAAAGTTGTTTGTAATAATGTAAGCATGCAGAGATGTTAGAAAAGTGATTTACCTTATTCCTCCGAGGCTTTTTCCAGAGTTATATGTTTTGCCTACTTTATGGGGATCTGGTTGTAAAAAATATGCATATGAATTTTCAGAAAATTAGGAAACCTAGTGGAAATATATGAAGGAGTATACATTGCTGTTCAGAAATCATGAGAGATAATCTTTATGTATAGATAAAGACTAAATAACAGCTTTGTTTAGGTTGTTTCTAGATTCATGGTGGTGTTTTAATAGCTTTGATGGTCCACATTTAAGGTATTTTTAGGAACTAACATTTATCCTCACAAAATTTCTAAGTACTATTTTTTTGCAATTTAAAACAGTAGTTAATAGCATTATCCAAATAATTTCTCCACCAGGCACGGATGGGCAGAAGCTTTTGCAGGTATCAGAAGTTCACATATCAAATATATCTGCCCGCATGCGTGAGTATTTCTAGTCTTTAGGCTTTTGTGGTTCAAAATCTGGGGAGGAACAATTATAATAGATTTACTTTTTCAGAAAAGCATTTGAATATAATTAATTTTTATCCCTTAAATCTTCAGTTTAAGATTAAAGATTAGAACTCCTTAAAACTAATTTCTTAATTTCAGGATTTCTTAAAACTAGAATTCATGGTTAAAATGAAACTTTTTTTCCTTTTTTACTTAAGAAATTTAAATATTGCTCTCCTAGAGATCAGCTGAACGTAAAGTCAGGAAAATTATTTTGGATATTTAAATATATGTAAAGTTCTAAGGATATCCCAGGGATATCTATGAAGGGGATCTACCTGCCAGATTTTCAAAAATTATTATGTTAAAAACACTCTTGAATTTTATCAGAGACAATGTGATGTACTGTGGACAGAACAGACTTTCAAAATTTCAAAATATTTGGTTTCAATTTCTGATTCTGTCAAAAAGGAAGTGGCAACTTCTGAGTAAATGCAGAAAAATCAATAAGTTTAGCAAGTTTCCTGTCAAGAGGTTGCTGAGGGGAAGTAGCTATGGAGAAGACAGAAGGGTGGGGTACATGGGGGTAGGTTAGTAACTCATCCTGAGAAGTGGGAAGAGCAGTACAGTTGAGACATACATGAATATGGGAAAAGGAGTATTATCTGAGATTAGGAAAGAAAAATTTTCTTTCTCTTTTTATTCAGAAATAGAGGGTCTGTTTTACTTCCAGCTACATCTGAACACTGTGGTGTAGTGTGGCTGTGTCTTCTATTAATCTATTCAAACAAGAGACAGAAGTCTTACTATGTCAGAATTTCTGCTATATTGTTATTTTCCCCAGATTGAATTGCTGTAAGGCTATTTCACAGCCTAGGGGATGTTTATATCATCAAATTTAGATATAGATGTTTAAAATTTCAAAGAAATATATAGAGAGATGTGTTACACAAATGATGAGAATAGTCATGAAATGTGTTTATAGTGTGTTTATTTTTCTTTCCTTTTGTACCTGGCTAAATTCACATAATCTGTTATATTTTTCATCTCAGATTTGAATTGGATATACTGGACACTTAGGCAAATCTTACATTTATTTAGAGGTCTCTTAATCAAGCAGGTGCATAGCTAAGAACTAGATGATAAGAAAAATGTGATCTGAGTTATGAGAATTGAAGTTTGCCATTTCAATTCTCAAAAAATTTGCTCTAATTGTCTCATATTTTATGCTTCCAACCATCTTGGTTCTTGGCTTCCCTTCTCATGTCTGAGAAGTTGTAAGTATTAAGTAAGTGTGTTGAGGACATTTTTTTATTTGCCAGGCTTAATCCTTCACAGCTGCTGCTGTGTCCTCAGAGCACACTTGGAGGGCAGAGATCATAGTTATTCAGGAAAAGATGCATAAAACATATGTTAAAATTGTAGCAGTTTTGTGTGAGCCTCATGTAATTTATTTTTGATTGGTTAAATTTATCAGGTTTTGTGCTCTGTTATTATTTTGCTTTTTTTTTTCTCTCCCGTATAGGCCAGTTATGCCTGTTACATTGAATATGAAAATGGCTATGCCTTCTTGGTAAGTTAGAATTTACTTATTCAATCAGAACTCTTTAGTTTTTCATTACAAGTGCTTTTGTGTATAACAGTCTTTATTTAGTTATTTTTTTAATTGCAAAGTTACAAACATTAACCTTATTTAAGGTTTTATGCTTTAGATCTGTGAATAAACATAAGGAATTATATAAACAGAAACATGAATAAATGTGTACATAGAAATATTTTGGGAAAATATCTTTCTGTTTGATAGGCCTTTGTTGACTTCAGTCACCAAACCTCTGAATGATCCGATGTGGTTCACTCTAATTAAGCCACAGTCTCTTTATCCTTCCAGTTTTTTCTCCTTCTGGAGAGCTGGTTAATTTTTAAAGAAGCCACTTCCCATTCTCACATTTGTTGTTTACTTTATGGTCAGGAAGTAGATTTAGTTTCTCATTTCTCTTTATTATCTTATATGATTTCTCTCTGCGGTTCTCTGAGACTCTTGTCATCAGGTGTTTCCAAAAAATGATGGCTTTGACATTTTGTCTTCTACTTCAGCTTCTGCCACTATTTTACTGTTTGGGTGACCACAGGGTCCAATTTAAGTGGCCCATTTACCACTTGACTGGCTTCCTAGTTCTTTCACCTTTTCTCTTTCCCAGGTTTTTTTTTTCCCCTTCTTCTTAACTTTGGTCATCCACTGTCATTCCTGGAGTCTTGTCATCTGAAACTGTCTCATCTCTGAAGTTACTTAATTCACCCCTGAATAGTAACATAATAATTGCATATCCATTGGGTTTATTTCCTTGTTTCCATACTGTTTATTCTGAGACCTCATCAGGACCTCCAGTCTGTTCTCTTTGGCCCCACTACTTTTTCTACCCACCCTCCACTTCCCTTTTTATCTACTTTGGATTCCATGAATGTTTCCAAGTTTCTACATACCTTATTTTATCTCTGTGTCTGACAAAAATCCTGATCCCTGAACTAAAATTTCTACTAATGTTGTAGAGACCATAATGTGAGCATATAACCAGATAGAGAAGTAGAGAGAGCAAATGGAAGATTTTCCTTGATTTCTGGTTTGAGGTGGTTATAATGCATAATGGGGAATGAATAAAGATCACTATAAGTACTAATGTTTGATGGGTATGAGGTGGTACATACAGGAGTAACATGATACAGAAAAGGAATCATTCCATTGAATTGATTTAGAATACAGAAAAGGATAGGAATGGCTGGAATTTATTACAAAATTTTCAGGATTGAGGGTTGAAATACCAAGGGGTTGTTTTGGGGTTTTTTATTTTGTTTTTGCTTTTGCTTGAGTGTAAGGTTAGACTAATATTTTAGGCTCTTCTCATCCTAATATTATGTGACACTGTGACTTTTTAACATTAGCATCTGAATCTAGTTAGAATGAAAGGAACATACAGAAGGTCAGAGTCATGTGTTTTAAGTTAGTTGTATGACCTCTGTAGACATATTAACATGAGTTTCAAGTTGTAGAGGGTTATCTTTGGTCAGTGCTTTTTATACACACTACCATGAATTTAATAAAACATCCTTGCCAAGAATAGACGTTTTCAGAATCGAATGGTTCTTTCAAGGTTTGGCCTCATTTTCTAGGTTTGATATCATTGGACTTTCACCAGATGCTCATGAGGATGAACCTGGAATTAAACAAGCGGCAGAAAATGGTAAGTATAGAAAATTTTTGTAACAGCGAAGGCATCGCTAAATGCTTTTATTTGACTGAGTAATTACATTGATACTGATTAGATATGACCCAGCTATATGATCTCAGGAGGTTGTGCTGTTTCCTTCCTTTCTGATCACTCTGACTGGTTTGCCGCCATGTCTACATGGACTCAGTTGTGGTTGATGGAGGTGAGGTGGATGGGGAGGAAGCATTTGTCAGTTTCAGCTCTGTCAGATATAAGAATTTTGCTTTGATTCACAGAGTAGGCAAATGGAGAAAATAGAACAGTGTTTAGTAGTTGTGGCTAGTTCTCTTCATTAAGGAGATATGAAATATGATAAAAATAATGATGTACAGAACATAATGATATAAGGTTAATAAAAAATGAAAATGATATTAAAGTCGAATATTAGTGTCACAATAATACATATCACTAATTAATTAGCTGTTCATAAACTAGGTATTTCTCCTGTAAATTGTCTTCACTTAACGCTTTTGTGCAAGTATTAGCTAAACTTTACAGAATCTCCAAAGTCAATTTTATGGGTAGTATTGCATTCTCCTTTATGAACATAACTCAGCTTATTTTGTGGGTGAAAGCATAAGAACATTAACTTACTGAAAGTTTGATAGTTTGTAAAAATGCACAGACGCATCCTTTCCTTTTACATGTATGAGCCGAATTATTTACAGGTAGAACAATGTAATGATTAGGATTGACTTCAGAATAATCTGGGTAGTGGCTCCTGGATGGTGGCATCAGCAAAACAATTGTGACTGTGAATTGATAATTAGAGAATTAAGGTGATGTAGAATGATCAAAGGAAGGATCCCAAGGAATTATTTCATTACTCTTCATACTTTTGTAGTTGTTGAAATTTTTAAAAATAGAATTAGAAACCCAAGCCTAGTAAGAGTCTTAATCTTTTTTAAAGAACTGTTATTATCTTTAAGAAAGAGAAAATACATTCAAAAGACATTGGATGTTTGGGAAAATCCAATGAATACTGACTTTTATTAGATCATCAGAAGTAGATCAAAGCTATCCTAGAGTTAACATTTTTGTCTAAAAATAACAGATAATAAAAATATATATCTAGATATTGAGTAAGTGTTGGACCCTATGGAAAACCGGGAGGGGCTGAGTAGGCCCTGTGGAAAAGACAGGTGGGCCTCATGGTTTCCAGAATGAGAGAAATCCTGTCTTGACAGTGGAGTTGGCCCATGAAATACTTGTCACTGCTTTCCTTTCCAAGCCACCAGTTACTGGAGAGAGTAAGAATCAGAGTTAGGGGAAAAAAGGCAGAGAGAATGTGCTACTGAAAAAAGCAGAGTGCTCCATTGAGGTTCTCAGAAGTAGTACTGCTCCTGCCCTTAGGGTGAAGGTCATTGAAATTAAAACCTGCCTCTCCACAGCTGACTGCTGTCATTGTGCCTTGTCCAGAGGCCTTTACCTCAGCCACTGGGTGTAACTGTAAGGAGCTAAGCTTTGTGAAACTGAGGGAAAAACTCTCAAGTGCTTCCTGACTGACTGGTAGTAATGTTCCTTGAGCCCAGCCTCTGCTGCCCTCTGCCTCCACTCTCCTAGAAGCTGGGCTGTTTCTGCCCCTTCGGCATCTTTTGATCTCCAGCTGCGGCTGTGCGGTTTCCCCCTAATCAGTCCCTCATACTTCTTAACAGTTCCTTAAGCCTCATTTCCTGGTGTCTAACACATTATACTGTGCTTTTCAAAATAGTTAGAGTACCCTTGCTTTTTTATACTAATTCTAACTAAAGAACTAATTTTATGTAAATCAGAAATAACTTTTAATTTGGACATTTTTTGGTATTTTAATAAAAGCAGAGTTGTCGGGAGCTGCCCTGCATGCAGACGCCTTTAAGTCCTGATGCACTGGGGTTCTGAACAATTATTGCCTCAATCTGACATGGTAGTGCCAGGTTGCACTAATTTGGGAGTCACCCCAGTTCAGATAACAAGGCGTGGCTCTAGGAGTAGGCGTCACCCACTGGGGTTGAGTTACACTTATCTATTCCTTTGTAATCCTATCCCTTTGCCCTTGTTGGGATAGAATGTTCCATGGAACCTCCCCTTGTGTGTCCGCTATATAAGAATAAAGAATTCCAGTGGCTCGCTCTCTTTCCATGGATCCTTAAGGTCGGAGATTTTGAAAAGATACCTCTGTATATTTGCCTGCTTTCTTTGTTGTTTTCTTAAGTTATTGGAATAGTCAGATTTTGTGAACCCAGCATTAGGTCGCCAGCTAAGATAGATGGCAATACAAAAGTTTTTTGTTTTTGATAAAAAAGGAAATATAAAATCAGAGATTCTGATTTTTTAAAAACATGAAAGAATGTATGTATGTAAAACATCAGGCAGATTTGTAAAATGTCAAGTTATCCATGAAACACAAGATTAATAATAAGGAAAAAGAAAATTCCAGGAGTTGTTAAATACTTATATTTGTATGGTGCATGTCAAGGTATGTTGTAGAAACAAAAGTACTTATTTGAAATTCTTCCCTCATCAATTATTTACTGACTATAGGAAAATTTTACTGATACTTTTAAGAATTAGAATGAACAGTTTTAAATACTGTAAATCACAAAACATGTAATCCTATATGCTATTTAACTCAGGTGTCACAGTGGCACACACCTGTAATCCCAGAAACTCAGGAGGCCAAGTCAGGAAGATCCCAAGTTTCAGGCCAGCCTAGGCAATTTGGTGAGACTCTGTCTCAAAATACAATAATGATATTTGTTTTAAAAAAAGTACTGAGAATGTAGCTCAGTGGTAGAATGCTTGCCTAGCATGTGTGAGGTCATGGGCTTACTCCTCAACTCTGGGAGAAAAAAAAAAAAAACTATATGCTATTTTAAAATGATGACTTTTAGGTATAAATGCCTTATAGTTTTTTAATAGAAATATAAAATGTATATGAGCAGAATTAACCATGAATTAAAACGTATGCATACACCCTACCCCCTGTTGAATCCTGGGCCTCATGCATGCTAGGCAAGTGCTCTGCCACTGAGCAGTACCCCAGCCCTTATTTTATTTTGAGACATGGTCTCACTAAGTTGTTCAGGTTGGCCTTCAACTTGGAGTCCTTCTGCCTCAGCCCCCTGAGTGGCTGGGATTATAAGAGTGCACCACCATACTGGGCAAGAATATCCACCTCTCAATGAAGAAAGAGTATTACAAAGTGACAAGAAATTGTTGAAATTTTAAGTTATACAGCACCTGCAAAATCTGAGAAGTTTCATAATGAAAAGACATTCTGATTTTGTGTTTTAACTGAGTGCTTCAGGTTTTTCACTCATTTTCACCTTGAATATACTTAGTGCTTTTCTACTATTTTTTTTTCCTATTTTATATTGCATCTCTGGGCTTAACTTTGAAAGCATTTGTGATTAACTTTCTTGTTTTTAGTAAAAGCTTTGATAGATCAAGAAGTGAAGAATGGCATTCCATCTAACAGAATTATTTTGGGAGGATTTTCTCAGGTAAGTTAAAGTTTGAGTGGTATGTCAGTACCATCAGTATATTTATCTAGAAATCTGAGATTTCAGTCATTTTCTATGGAAGAATTATAGAATCTTGATGGATGTTAATGCTGAATTAAGTTTGGATTAAAACTAGTTAATTTTCACTTTAGATACATTTTTGCTTTCCTAGTTTTCTGTGTCCTTAGCAATAACCTTTGTCTTTTAGATTGTCTTCAGAATCAATTTATTAAGGAAACTGATTGAAACCTGAAATGTATTTTCTTAAAATAACAATAACAACACTGTGGTTAGGTTTTTAAGTTAACGCTATGTACCCTTTTAATTAATTAGAACTCTGATAATACAGGCATAAGTCCCTTGTTCTAGGTGACTTGGACTAGAAACAATAGGTAGATGATGAGAGAAAAATAATGTCTTTCCCTTTTTTGTTATATAAAAATAGGTTTTAAATATAAATGTGTAAAGTTTATTTTGGTATCTTTCTTCCTGTCTTTACTTTTTCTCCGCCTTGTACTTTTTTAACAGCCACGGTTCCCTTGTGTTGGCCTCATGTCTTTACTTCAGCTTTTCACCTGTTTCCATATCACCTGTCCTAGAATGCTCTAGCTTCTAATCTACAAATCTTCTAAATCAGCAACTGAGTGTTCCCTTACTTAGGCTAATGCCAGAATTCTAGAATTATTGAGAGAATAGAATTCAGTATAAACATAAGATTGTTGATACAATACAGTAAAAAGGAGTTACTGATAAGGTGTTTGTTGAAATAATGTGCATAATACACATCTTGACAGAAACATAAGACACAAAAATTAATGCTTGATTCAAAATATGAAGTGTACCTGGGAGTCTTGTCTATTTGAGATTTATTGATAACAGCCTACAGAAAACAATCCCTAATACCTATGTGTGGAATGATGGAACATCATGAGTTTAAGCAAGAAGGATTAAGTTAAGAGTCTGTAGTAGGGCTGGGGATGTGGCTCAAGCGGTAGCGCGCTTGCCTGGCATGCGTGCGGCCCGGGTTCGATTCTCAGCACCACATACAAACAAAGATGTTGTGTCTGCCAAAAACTAAAAAATAAATATTACAAAAAATTTCTCTCTCTCTCTCTCTCTCTATCTATCTATCTATCTATGTATCTATCTATCTTTAAAAAAAAAGAAAAAAAAAAAAAGAGTCTGTAGTATCATAACAGGGAGACCATGCCTAAAAATAAAGTATGGACTCAGGAAGTAGCGGGAACCTGGAAAGCCATCAGGACTTTTCTCTCCATCTTCAGCTTTCTTTGTCAGCTCACTTGCCTCATTTGCTTCTCCATCATTTGTTGGCCATCTTAGCTCTTGCAGCTTGTAATTTTTCAGCTCTTGAGCTTACAAGTTACAGTTCCAGCCACACAAAGAGACTGCCTACAGTCACTGAATCCCAGTTCCACAGTTCCTGGGAAAACAACCATCAGTGTCTGGGATGTCCCTAGCAGTGGCATATGGGCACAATCAGGGTGATAGGCATCTAGATGGCTGCAGGATTATAGTTCCCAGGACATGGGATGTTTTGAACCGGGTGGGCAGATACTCTAAAGATGTCTGCTACACTGTCCTTGTTATCTTGATTCCCACTTTTAGAAAATAGTACTAATTTAAGACAAGATTGGATTTTAGACCTGAGACTTCTCATAAGAGAAAATGATAACTAAGTTCAGAATATTCCTAAGGCATGCTGTAAATAGTTTACTATACTATTTATTGTCTGTGTCTTGACTGGGTAGTTGGTATGTTCTCTTTGGTGTAGAGAGCTGTGTGCATTAAGGGTATGCATTCCCACTGTTTGTCTGATTTGATTTGACATTGGCCACTCAGTTGATATCTTCATGGACATCATTAATTACAAGAAATTTCCTACTTTGTGTTAGCAGAGTGTGGATTTTCCATTGACTTTCCCTGCTTGCTTTCCAGGGAGGAGCCTTGTCTTTGTACACTGCTCTCACCACACAGCAGAAACTGGCAGGTGTCACTGCACTCAGTTGTTGGCTTCCACTCCGGGCTTCATTCCCACAGGTAGCCTGGTTTAGATTTCTGAGCTAAGAGGTAGCAGATAATGTTGAGGAGGTCATCCTTTTTATTTAAATCAAGAAACTTTATTTATTTATTTTAGCAGTTTTCGTTTTATAGCAAAATTGAACAGAAAGTAAACTTCCCATTGTGGAAATCCCACACCACAGTGGGACCTTCCTTAAAATCAATAGACCTAAGTGAGACATCATTACTACATGGTTTATATCAGTCATCCTTTTTAAATTTTATTTTATTTATTTTATCTTACTGTATTTTTTTTTTTTTTATATTACCAGGGACTGACCCCAGTGGTGCTTAACTACAGAACCATGTTCCCAGCTCTTTTTTATTTTTTATTTTGAGACAGGGTCTCACTAAGTTGCCTAGGGCTTCGCTGAGTTGTTGGGGCTGCCTCGGCCTCCCAGTGACTGGGATTACAGATGTGTCACCATGCTTGGCTCAGTCATCCTTTTTAAAAAAGAATTTCCTTGGGCCTTTGTAAAGTGTTACTAGGCTTTACCTACACACTCTTTATTGTCTTTATTGTGGATTGCATAGAATGGAATAAGAAATAAGCCTTAGGTCATAAATCTTTTATTTGATTTATATTTTATATTTTAAGGGGTATATGGAAATTAGGGCTATTTTTTTAATACACAGAACTATTTTTTAGTATCAGGGTTTGATAGCAGAATTTTACTATAGAATATAATTTCTAAATATTCAACAGTGAAGCAATATATAAGACACATGGGAAATGTAGACATTATTTTCAAATTCTTTTTTTTAGGGGGGTGTTGGTGCTGGGGGTCAAACACAAGTCCTTGTGCATAGCAAGCACACGACCACTGAGTTATTTTCCCAGCCCCAAATTTATTTTTAAATCTAGGGTTTTGTCTTATTATTATTTAATAACTCTTTGGTTTCTTGCACTTACTAGGTATTGTTTATTAACTGCTTATTAAAATCAATTAAATAAAACTGAAAAAGAACATGATTAATCTAATGTATCCTAATAGATATTAATTACTTCTCATATCAAGACACTGAAAATATAGAAATGAATTAAGATGTAATAGATTTCAAGAAATGGGTTCATTGGGAAGATGTGTTATAAAACAAGGCAATCATTCTATAGAATTTTAAATAAAGAGACCTGGAGAAGAGAGGAAGGAATTTTATTTCTTTGGCCAAATATCACCTGAAATAATAAGTAATAACATATTTGTTATTACTCTGTGTACAGTTTTAAGTATCTGGCATAATGCTTTATACATGTGACTAACTGGTACTTTTATTCTGTTTTGCAGAGTCCCATCAGCGGCCCTAATAGAGAGCTATCTATTCTTCAGTGCCATGGAGATTGTGATCCTTTAGTTCCGCTAATGTTTGGTTCTCTTACTGTTGAAAAACTAAAGACTTTGGTAAATCCAGCAAATGTAACCTTCAAAATCTATGAAGGCATGATGCACTGTTCATGTCAACAGGTAGGTATCTGGAAACAGTGATCAGAGTCATAGTTGCAACTTCTTTATGTGATATTTTTAAGATCAATAACATTTGACACTTGGGGACTTAAAAGAGTTAATGAGTTCAGTTTAAATCTTAGGTTAGCAAGTCTTCAAACGTTTATTCACTAAAATTCCACAAATCCCTCATTGTCCATCACACATAGAAATCATACAAAAAGCAAAAGTGAATAATAAATATTCCCTTTTAATTATTAAAATTTAAGGTTAATTAATTAACACTTAATAGGAGAAAGATGTTTATCCAAGTATCTAACAGGAAACAGAACATGATATGTGCTCTAGTAGCAGTTTTTGAAAACTACCCTGCAGTCATCCAGGTGTGGTGGCACATACTCTGCTACTGTGGAGGCCAAAGCAGGAGGATTGCAAGATTGAGACCAGTCTCAGCAATTTAGCAAGACCCTGACTCAAAATAAACAATAAAAAGGGCTGGTATAAGCACCCCTTGGTTCAATCCCCAGTACCACAAAAAATTTAAATAAATTAAAAAATAAAAAAGTGGACTGGGGATGTGGCTCAAGCGGTAGCGCGCTCGCCTGGCATGCTGTGTCTGCCGAAAATTTAAAAAATAAAATATTAAGAAATTCTCTCTCTCTCTCTCTCTCTCTCTCTCTCTAAAAAAAAAAAAAACATTATTATAAAAAAGAAATAAAAAAGTATCCTGGGGGCTCGGGATGTGGCTCAAGTGGTAGTGCGCTCGTCTGGCGTGCGTGAGGCACTGGGTTTGATCCTCAGCACCACATAAAAAAAATAAAATAAAGATATTATTTCCATCTAAAACTAAAAAAAGAAAATTTAAAAATAATAAAAATAAAAAAAGTACCTGTAACTAAGTGTGGGTGGTATACACCTGTAATCCCAGCTACTGAAGGCTAAGGGAGGAATAAGGAAAGTTCAAGGCCAACCTGGGCAATTTAGGAGATTATCTTAAAATAAAAAGGGCTAGGGATATATTTTAGTGGGTTTAATCCCTAGAACCACAAAAAAAAAAAAAAAAAAAAATAGTGCCCTGAAAAACTGAGACAGGTGAGATTAATTTTATTTTAGGAAGTGCTGGTATCATAATAAAAGAGCTGGATTTTGAGGAATGATCAGAATACAGATAGGAAATATGCAGGTAAGGTCTATAGGGCAATAAGAAAAAAATGTCCATTTTGGCCAAAGTTTTATGAAAAGCTAGATGTTGTAGGACAGAAGAGACAGGGAGCGGCTTGTTCTCTAGACAGCAGGAAACCATCAGTGTTGATCAAAGTGAGAGATGTGATGTAATCTACATGCCAGAGCAGGTGAGAAGAACTCCTGTAGAATTTAGAAGTTAATTCTATATGTAGGAAAGTAGGAGGTTTCAAAGAGGTCCCAGATTTTTTAGCTCAGATGCCAAAGATGCCATCATAAAGTAGGTACAAGGAGCAATTTTAGAGTAACAGGCAGGAGATAATACTGAGTTTTGTGACCATTTTGAGATGTACCCCTACTGTATCAAAATAGGGTGTTAGAAATACTTGTCTGTAGCTCAAGCCTATAAATGGAGACTTGGAATAATTACCAGTATTGTGGATCAGTGAAGAATAGTGTACTCAGAACCTCATCATCAAAAAAGCTGAGAGAGAGAACTTTGGGGGATACATTTGAATTCAGGCTAAAGAAAAGAGGAGTAGGTGTTTGAAAGTATGGGGGAAGAGAATTTCTACAGGAAAGAGCAGTATCATATCACGTATGTCAGAGGATTAAAGAGAGAGAGGCCAGGAAGGAACTGTCCAGTGTTAAGCCATCTCTGACCTTGGTTGTTTGGGAAGGAAAAGCCAAACTACAGTGGACCATGTGACGTAGATGGGGAGACAAGAAAGTAGAGAGTGGAATACAGACCTTTTTTTAAAAAAAAAAAGTTTTGGTGAAGAGTAGGAAGTCTCATTTTTAGATGGGAGAAAGACCTGTGGTGAAGGGAGGATGCAATGGAAAAAAGATAATTGAGAGGAGGAAGTCTGGAGGATCATATAGTAGAATTAAGACTATAGATGAGTTGTACTACCGTAGGAGAAAATACTTGAAATCAAAATATAAGAGAATAGGTGAATGTAAACAGATGTCAGGGTAGAAAAGAGATTATTTATTTGAGAGCTTACATTAGATGCTTTTTCAGTAAAGTAGGAGATGTGATCATTTGATAAGAATGAAAGCGGGGGTGTGGTTCAGCGGTAGAGCGCTCGCCTTGCACGCACATGTGAGGCCCTGGGTTCCATCCTTAGCACCACATAAAAATAAAGAAAAAAGATTGATGGCTAAGCAGTGAAATAGTCCATGCAACACTGTTTTATAGCCATTCAGCCTGGTTAATTCACTTGCTTTAGAGATAAGTCATATTACTACCCACTTTTTCTTATCCAGAAAGACAAGGGACTTGATATCCTATGAAATATTGAGTGCACTGAGAGGGGAGAGGGAGGTGCTGGCATCCTAAGTACCCAGGAGGGACTGAGGGTTTAGAGCATCACAGGTACCCTGCTTTTGTGTGTGTGTGTGTGTGGTACCAGAGTTGAACTCAGGACCATTTGCACGCTTCTTTTCTGAGTGACTAAATTATAAAGTTGAAGGTTCTCTGTATCAATGATTTGTGGAACAGTGAGGCCAAGGCCTTCAAGTGTAAAAGGCAGGAAGTGGGTTTGAGGGAGATGGGAAAACTGTGAGCCACACTCAACACAGGAGGCTTCCAGGAGGAAGTTTGTTCTTATATTCAGATCCTTCCAGGCCTATCTTAGGTATGTTCTTTCTTTCTGATGGTTAGTTGTATGTAATTCCTTATTAAAGGCACAAAATAGTTTATGCTATAGATTTAGCATTTCATTCTAATGAGGGAATGGTAAAAGTGAGACTTGATTGTCAGTTACTATGCACTTACCAAGTCTTCTTGGTATATGTACTGTAACTTCTAAGCTCCTACATTCCCCAGTGCTTTATTTTATTTAAATATCAGAAAATGTAAACCATTTTCATGGAAACTAGATAATAATCAGAAGCTATCATTTCAGTATATGATGATCATCATAGGGTATGTTATGAAATTTCTATTAAAGCCTCATTTTTCTTTTAATTTTTTTTTTTTTTTAGTTTTTGATGGACCTTTATTTTATTTACTTAATTTTATTTGTGACACTGAGAATTGAACCCAGTGCCTTACACATGCCAGGCAAGTGCTCCACAACTAAGCCACAAACCTAGCCCTCATTTTTCTTTCATGTCTCTTTATTATAGAAATAAAAATGAGACTTCAGCTTACCTATGTTCCTACTTGGATTTCATTAATGACATTTTAGTGAGGATTTAATTTCTGACTTACGTTGCTGCTGACTAATTTAACTTTATCTCAAACAGGAAATGATGGATGTCAAGCAATTCATTGATAAACTCCTACCTCCGGTTGATTGACATCACTAAGAGGCCTTGTGTAGACGTACACCAGCATCATTGCAGTAGAGTCTAAACCTTTTCCCATGCTCAACTTTAAAACTTTTAATGTTTGCAGTGTTGAAATGTTTTGCAGATACACACCAATGATACAGACAAAATAATGGCTCCTCCGTGGGAAACCTAGGATCTTTTAAGTTTCTATACATGTATTTGTATACGATGATCCAGACTACATTAGTATTAAAATAGGTGAAGCACCTAGCTTCTTTTTCTTAAATGTAATTGAGCAAAATAAAATACTACAACCAAATTTTTTATCATATCATTTGAAAATTACTAGTATGCTTGACAAAAATTTGTTTCAGTATAAACAAGCAATCAAGATATAAACAATTTATGCATGCTGTGACTTGGTCTATGGATTTATTCCAAAATTGCTTAGTCACCATGCAGTATCTGTATTTTTTAATATATATATATATTCGTATATACATAATGATGGTAATACATACAATTAGATGGTGTTACATTATTCCTGATAATAGGGATAATGCTTATAAGTGTCAACAGAGAATAGTGTTGCTCTTTTCAATTAATTGCCCTTTTATTTGGGGGACCAGGCTGTTCTTTTCCTTGATATTATTTCTATTTAATATTCTTTTCTCTCGAGAAAAATAAAAGTCCTTTCTTTCTTGATTGTCCTTCAGTAGCAGACCAGTTATTGCTTCCTTGCCATAGACATCTGAATCACTGACATAGGATATTTAAGATCAATGTATGCTTTAAAAGAAATTGAACATTATTTAAACTCCCTGTACTACATATTTCAAAAACTATACCTTAGTCCAAATTTAGACCTGTTTAGTTATTAGAATATTCAATCAATAAGAACAATTCTGTCTGTAGTTTTATTTTTTCTGTAAACAACTGAAAGACTAATTAATTAGGTCATATTTTGGCATTTTCTGAAATATTTGAGATTGATCTTAAAAACTGGTTTCTAAAATGATTGGGTCTTATAGCATACGGTTTAGATTTACTTTTTCTCTCTCTATATATATATATGTTTGAAACCAACTACTACAGAAAATGAGCTGTCCATTAGAAAAAGTTGCTTTATTTTTGTCTGCCAGTGTACTTATTTGAAATTTTCAGTTGAGTCAAATGATTTTTAAAATTATGCCTGTAATCCCAGCAACTCTGGAGGCTGAGGCAGGAGGATCACAATTTCAAGGCCAGCCTCACCAACTTAGAGAGACCCTAAGCAATTTAGCAAGACCCGGTCTTCAAAATAAAAAATAAAAAGGGATGAGGATAAAGCTCAGTGGTAAAGTACCCCTGGGTTAAATTTTCAATATCAAAAAAGCAATTCTTTGTTTAATATGCATTAGATTTTCCAGATTACTTATAAAAATTATTTGAAAACAAATTTATGGGTAATAAAAATTAATCAGACCCCCCCCTATATATATGATGTAGTACCCTCACAATTTAGTATATTGCAAAAATGTATGCTTAATATTTCTGAACTGTTAATTTTTTTTTCTGTACTCCAACTGACCAAAACAATGTTAAGAATGCATCTTTATAAATGGGTGCTAATTGATAATGGAAATAATTTCGTAATGGACAATATAGGATGTTAATAATGAAGCCATATGTTTATGTCTGGATTTGAAAATTTTAAACAATCATTTACTAAGTCATTTTTTTTTTAACTTGAAGAACAAAAACTGTTTAATTTCAGTTATACAAATCAGTAAGATCTTATTTATGGCAAGAAATATTCCGTTGAAATGTTGTGCTGTAACATGGGAAAATGTCGGTGTTTTTCACAGTTTCTATAAATGTGAAATAAAATTTAATTCTGACTTTTCTGTGACTTTTTTTTTTTTTTTTAGTAGTAGTTTAACATTTGGGCTTATCTTGAAATAGGTGTCTGAAATGCAAAAGAGGAAGATAACAATGTAATTACAAGAAAAAGCATTGGGAAACAAACTCTGATGTTGGTGTTACTGACTTGGAATGGAACCAGGCCTGAGAAATAATCTGATGTTATTTAATTTAATCTAAAAGAAAAACAAACACCCACATTTGGCTTTCAGACTTCCTAACTTGTTTAAAAAGTTCTATTTGGTGTTTTCCTTTTGTCTTTTCCTTTAATGCAGTATTCACTGGAACTTTTAAATTAGGATCACAAATCAGTTATCCAAATATTCCTATCATCCAAATAGATCTTGTCAGCTGGGTATGGTGGTGCTTGATTATAATACCAGCCACTTGGGAGGCTAAGGCAGGAGGGTCAAAGTTCATGTCAGTCAGCCTCAGCAACTGAGCAAGATCCTATATCAAAAAAAAGAGTTGGGGATATAGCTCAGTGGCAGAGCACTCCTAGATTCAATCCCTAGCACTTCCCTACCCCTGCCCTGCCAAACAGTTTTTCTCTTTCTAGTTCACCATTGGCATCTAACTTTTCCCAGTACTGGAATTCTTTCTGTTCTAAATAATCTCTTAGTTTCTGCTTTTGAATACTTAAAAGTGACCAGTGTACCTTTTGTTTAGTCTGTTAAAATTTTACATAGTTCTAATTATAAGAGAGTTCTATAACAAAAATATGTGTGCAACTTCGGTTCTTATGGATTTATCCTCTACAGCACCTTATTTCGTGTGTGTGTGGATGGAACCCAGAGCCTCACACATGCTAGGCAAGTACTCTACCACTGAGCTGTACCCTAGCCCTCATGGGATAATGATTATTTCATCAACTTTTTTTTTTAATTTTTATTTTTTTTAATTTTTTATTGTTGGTTGTTCAAAACATTACATAGTTCTTGATATATCATATTTCACACTTTGATTCAAGTGAGTTATGAACTCCCATTTTTACCCCGTATACAGATTGCAGAATCACATCAGTTACACATCCATTGATTTACATATTGCCATACTAGTGTCTGTTGTATTCTGCTGCCTTTCCTATCCTCTACTGTCCCCCCTCCCCTTCCCTCCCCTCCCCTCTTCTCTCTCTACCCCCTCTACTGTCATTCATTTCTCCCCCTTGTATTATTTTCCCCTTTCCCCTCACTTCCTCTTGTATGTAATTTTGTATAACCCTGAGGGTCTCCTTCCATTTCCATGCAATTTCCCTTCTCTCTCCCTTTCCCTCCCACCTCTCATCCCAGTTTAATGTTAATCTTCTTCTCATGCTCTTCGCCCCTACTCTGTTCTTAGTTACTCTCCTTATATCAAAGAAGACATTTGGCATTTGTTTTTTAGGGATTGGCTAGCTTCACTTAGCATAATCTGCTCTAATGCCATCCATTTCCCTACAAATTCTATGATTTTGTCATTTTTTAATGCAGAGTAATACTCCATTGTGTATAAATGCCACATTTTTTTTTTATCCATTCGTCTATTGAAGGGCATCTAGGTTGGTTCCACAGTCTTGCTATTGTGAACTGTGCTGCTATGAACATCGATGTAGCAGTGTCCCTGTAGCATGCCCTTTTTAGGTCTTTAGGGAATAGACCAAGAAGGGGAATAGCTGGGTCAAATGGTGGCTCCATTCCCAATTTTCCAAGAAATCTCCATACTGCTTTCCAAATTGGCTGCACCAATCTGCAGTCCCACCAGCAATGTACAAGTGTACCCTTTTCCCCACATCCTCGCCAGCACTTGTTGTTGTTTGACTTCTTAATGGCTGCCAATCTTACTGGAGTGAGATGGTATCTTAGGGTGGTTTTGATTTGCATTTC